AAATTGATTATTTTGGTCTCTTAAAGAAAAAGGGGGAGAGGAATGGAAATAAAGCAATGAAAGCAAAGCCTAAGAACAACTGTACAGACAACAGTACAGTATTCTTGTCAAGAGTGTTCAGGTCATGGATGCAGCTTGACCTTTGCACAAAAGGCTTAATGTTGTCCTACAATTCAGGCCAATTTTTTCAGTACAAAACTGTACAGATACTAATTCCCCTTAACCGTGTAAGAATACTGTATATTCTGTCAAGATATTCCAAGYTCCTACAGTGCAACAGAAATTCAGTATGTATTTTAATATGCCAGTTGAGTGGGTAAGGCTGCAAGATACCAACAAATCATGGTTAGAAAAYAAGCAGGATCACAACATGCCTGTTTAAAAAAATATCATAGAGTTCCCTCCTTCTTTCTGGAGTGGTATTTCAAGCCCTGGGGCCCCTAAGTGAATTGCCTTTGTAATAAATCTTACATAAGCTGGGCTACAGAAGTGACTCAAACTCCTCTGGCAGTACCAGCTGCAAAATGAGAATAGAGCTTTAGCATCAGAAAAGCAGTACCGTATCAGATGAAGGCTGTGAGAGCCAATCCTGCCTCCAAGAGTGGCAATGAGCACTTCCAAGGTAAAACTCTTCTGTCCACTATTTTTGGCCTAGGGATGTCATGACTTGGATGGTATTTCTATCAAATCAGCACACCTTCACAGGCATCTCTTCCATTAACTCATTTCTTGAATTTATCCAAGCTTTAGCATCCACAACTTCTTTGCTGGTGGTTCCAAAGCTCAATGACTTGTTGCATAGGAGACCCTGGCTCCTCTGTGCTCAAACTGGCTCTGACACCTTCACTGGACCCACCTCCTCCTGAGATAAGGGCAAAACTCCTGATTCCAGTTCACTCYCCTCTCGTGGTTTCATGCATCAGCACCAAATCCCCATGGAAATTCTCTTGGTTTATGCCCTTTGACTACATTAACTCAGGAACCCCAAGTCAGGAATACGCAATTCAGCTCCAGGACTTCGAGAAGGCCCCATTTTGTCAGGGATTGAAACCACCCCTGGCCACAGCAGCTATAACTTTCAGAGCCCTTGGGAGCCACCCTCCTCCATTAAAAGCTCTGATTATTCGATGCATTTATAATTAACTTTTGACCCACTACTTTGTTGGTTTTGGTTTTCAGATTGCTTTCTGACAGATGAAATATGAATAAACCTGGGCTGCTTATCAAAGAAGTCAACCATTTTTCTAATTATAAGACAGGTGTTAATCATATATTTGATCAAGCTGTATATTTGCATTTCTTTGTGTATTTGGGAGCTTTGATTTAAAGAGGCATTTAGACCAAATAAAATATACAAAGTCCTTCYATCTTCTCATCTACCAGGAAAACTCTGAATCCCCTCCATGCACAGTAACAAAATGCATTGAAAATTTGATGCAGATTCGTAACACAAATGAGACAASAGCCAGTTCCTCGAGTAAACTGCTTTTCAGGCTGTTTAAGGCAAAGCTCTCATCTGTGTCAGCCACTGTCCATAAGAGTATCACAGAAACCTGAGCTGGTGATGTGGAAAAACCCTCCCGTAAGGRCAACTTCCTGCATTTCCTAATAACACAGTTATGCCTGTGCTCTAAGTGGTTCTTWACCAACACATATCAGTCAATGACACTGTTCCCAGCCAATTAAAATATCTGGTTTGATTATAGTTAATGTTCCCATTTTGCAGGGTAACACCTCCCAWAACTAAAACCAGAGATTTACAAAACCATTTCAATAAAGATTGGCATTGCATCTCCATTTGAAATGCTCTCCTATGTAATTCCCTGAATAACTGACCGATTCAGAACAAGCTGGTCTGCAAACAGGTTTTGCATGCTCACTAGCAGCTTTGTGAATRCACTCAGAAGCTATTTCTTCTTACTCACTTATAGTGGTGATATATATAATAGTTAAACATCACTTAACTGCTTACCCAGAAAAAACAACCCACCCCCATGGCACTTGCAAGTCAAGTGTATTTCATTAGGAAAGAGTGTAATGTTAACAATTAGTGTTAATAGGGAGCAAGAAAAATAAAGCTAAAGTGGGCTGTGTGCCCACAGAAACAACCTTTCCCCCTACAGTGTCTGTGTGTCTCTCCCTTAAGCTCATACCATGATTAACAACCAGCCTTGTACTCCTCAGGAGGAGGCCCCTCATTGTGTTCCATTTGTAATTCCAATAACATACCAAGGTAAGAGGTACCATAACCACAGCAGATCAAATTATTGCTCTCTATAATCAAGAGAGAAGTACTACTGTGTAAAAATGAACATTTCATGAACAATTCACTCCAACATTGCCTGCTTTTCTCAACTGCCTCTGCTCATTGCTGCAGCTACAACTCAACTTTCTTGTGACTTTTGGCAGGCCAGTATCTAAAAATTTCCTTGATTTTAGGACCCATGAGGAAGTCCCAGATTCCTACAGGCTACAAACAAMTGAAAGAACACTGCAAGCTTCGCTTACTCAAATGATGATTTGCTTGTCTCCAGTACTACGAGCAGAAACTAAAACAGCCATGTGGCTAAATCTATGAAATAACCCAAATACGTCATGGATGCTTTCAAATACCAGCTTTAACTCACCAGATTTTAGGAATACATAAAAGATGGATAGGAGCAGGAAGGATTAGGAATAAAACTGAAATTCCCGAGTGGTAGGTACAGCACAGGCTGTTTTAATACACCGGCTATTTGCTCTGTTAGATGTAATTTAGAAGGCACTAATAGAATCCTCCTGATTCTGGCTTGCAATTTTGCATTAATTATGGGGGGCAGAAGGATTTCATTAGCAATTTGGTAGAAGTGAGACAGGTGGTACTTATCCACCAGCTGAAYACTTTTGCCTATTAGGGAGAAGGCTGCTTTTACTGTCTTTCATRGCAAGCCTGGCCAGGGAAGGGGAGTCAACAAGCTGAACACTTTATAGCAGGCCTGCCAAGTACAGGAAGAACTGTGAAATGGCACACTGGGACAACTGCTATCCTGCCATTATTTAATATTAATATCTTTGACCCYAACTGCTGAAGTAGCTGAAGGCAACTTATGTTACACTGAAGAATAAAATACATCTGAAAATCTAGCACGTTCCAGCAATGATCAGTATTACAGAAATTCTTGTCTAAACCAGRATTTTCTCAACAATTTTCTGGAGAGTTAGCTGGATACAATGTCTCTGAAGGCAGACTGCTAATGAAACCAATGTTTTTAAAAAATCATAAACCAATGATCTTTCACTCTACTATAAAAGACACCACATGCATTATTAATAAGTTTTAAAAATATGATGTCCCGTTGTCTCTTGAATTTACACAAGCCAGTATATCCTTTAATATATCTGATACATATGGTGAGAAAGAGGCTAAGGGTTTCTCCAAAATGAATTACAGAACACTATCTGTTGCAAGAAGTCCTGATTTAATCCCATAACAGCAACTGAGGTGACAAGAAAACTTGGTATAAAACATTAGATTACTGATTCTAAGCTATTAAGACTTCTAAACACATTCCCCTCCCTCTCCCCATCCTAGTTATTCCTGGGCCAAGACATTTTCTTGACTCTCATGCTTCAATTCTCAGCTGTCATCTTCAAGTTTTATTTTTATTAAGAAAAATATGAAAGCATTTCCACGTTGGCTTTTTTTTTTTAAACACTCTTTCTCAAGTAGCCTCTCTCCTGACCAATCTTGCTTGATTTCAATGCAGGAAAGTATTACCTCTCATGATCACTCCTTTCCCTTTCTCAGTGCCAGCATTATTAATTATGAGCCTTGAAATTTTAGGAGTTGCCATGTGCCACAAAGCCATGTAAACTATGCTAAAGCTGTGTCTCCAAAAGCACTTGCTTTACCTTATTTGGCTGATATACTCAACACTGACAGAAATAAAGAGTTATTGTGGAACATGCATTTCTTTTAAAAGTGCAAGAGGCACGTCTGTTGAGGTAACTTATATGAGAATTACTWTCACCTGTATTGTGCCCATAATTAAGATAATTGCAGTTAGCCTTTGAGCTCTGCAAAAACTGGCAGTTTTAGAAACATAAAAATTTGAAACTGTCTATACTTAGAACATCAAAAAGACAAAGTACCAGAAAATTCAAAGTTTGAAAAGATAYGGGGGAGGATACACACAAATACAGAGCAACAGTTTTTACAGAAATAGCTTTTTCAAAGTCAAGACATGCTTCTAACTGTAATATTACTCACATACAACTCTGACTCTGTATTTCAATGCACACATTTTGCAAAGTCTAATCACTAATCCAGGAATCTGTTTTCACAGTTTTACCCATTTTTCTCTATTCAAATTTCCAAGCAGGTGCCACCTTTATCCAACAAAACATGGCTTTCAGGGAGTAAATGCAAGGCAGTTCCAGGGGGACATTTTCTGCAGCCAGAGCTCCACAGAGATGGCTGGTGCTGCACCAACATTAGAAGCACTCATAGGGTAAAATCTTTTAAGAGGTGAATAGAATGAGTAGCCCCAGCTTGAGAGGGCACAGCACCACCACACACRCACATAACCATGGCCATTACTCATTTTGTTCCAAATCCAAGTGTCCTGAGAAGAACACAACACTCCCACATCCCTGTTGTAGGCTGTATGTGCTTAGTGAGCAGAAATCAGACACTTCCACATCCTCACCAGCTTATCCTAGGAGAGGGTTCTTTGTCACCCTCTGCCAGGCAGCAACAGCTACTAAAGCTAAAACAAAAGCATGTACCTGCTACTGCAGTATCAGCAAAAATCCTCTCTGTAAATAGTTACAGTAACACAACTGTTTCTACTACAACAGATTCATTTTGATCCTGAATGATCCTACATCTGCAAAGAAGCATCGCCAACATATCTTACTAGAACTTTCCAAAATGCCATCACCAAAGCTGATAAAAGTAATGTGCTACTTCATGTCYCCATGCCCCYATGTTGGYATRATTTTATTTYTGAYTATCTTACCTTGTTTCCCAGAGGCTTCCAGCTRCTCTTGCAGGTCCCAGTGCAGAATRCTTGKATTCWCAACAGGGGTTGCTCCTTCCTCTTCCTCACTGTGAGTGGCCCAAGCAGCACTTTGAAGCAGCACTTTGAAGTAGCACTCTCACAGCTCTCCTCCTGCTCTACACCAGCCTTTCAAAGGCAGAACYTACAACAAAACTTGTCCTTGTCCTCCTGCTGCTCTGTGCACCCCTTGTGCTTTGTTCCTCCTTCTCTCACAGCCCAAATGGTCTGAATCACTCCCAGCTGTGCCAGGCTGGGCTGGGCATGTTCCACAGGTGGGGCTGGGTTACTGTCAGCCACAGCTGAGAGCAGTGATGAGCCACACCATGCTCTGGGGGAGGGAGGCTGCAGCTCCTTCCTCACATGTTCCACATTAGCCACKCTCCATATTGGGATCTCAGGAGTTGCAGCTTTTGCAGCATGGAGAAAAATATCCAATACCTCAAGCATGGCTGTGGGGCCATTTGCCTTCAAAAAGTCAGTGCTACAATAAGTATTGTTGTTGGCTTGTTTCTGTTGTGTTTCAATGATCATTTCTAACCTTCTGAAACAATTCAGAAGTACTTCTTCATGTCTGTAGATTAAGTGGAGGAACTTCTCTTTACTGTAGTGGGCAAGGACCAGGTCKGGCAATGGCAACTTCCCTTTCATTCCAGCCCAGGAGACAAGGAACAGTCAGGTTCAGAGGCAAACCAGAGCAGTTTCAGTAAAGGCAGACTGTTTTACAGGTAGAGCATATGACTCAATGGATTCTCTCAAKAAGCCTTTGCCTGTTCAGAGTTTGTTTATTGATGGCTCTTTGACACACACACTTCCATGTCTGATGAGCTCTCACATTGTTATGGATGAATGCTGAGRAATTTCAATCCAATAACTTCCTAGGAAAAGAGAAAGAAAAATACGTCAGCTGGGATCTAAGGAACTGTACATGATGTGCTCTTACTGTGGGGTGTTTGGGTTTTTTAACAGGCTATCCTACGATATAGGACAGTCCTCTCTGAGGAGAGCACTCTGAGGAGAATTCTGGGTCTAGCAGTCTGCAAAGCTAGAATGTGGTTTAATCCAACTGCAGCCAATAAGGAATAACCATCTCAATTTCACAGCTATTTGTATGATGTGTATTGAGTAGAACAGCCCAGCTTTCCACTGCTGTTTGTAGTGACTCAGTAACAACCCCACAGTATCAATAAGAGCTGTACAGTGATCAAGCTCTCCCATTCTCAGTCCCCAGCMACACTTGCCCACAGTGACTTCCACAACAGTTTATATCCATTCTCTCCTTCTCTGCTAAAATGCCCCTGGATATCCTTTGGTGAGGAAGCAATTTGTGGGGGGAAGGGGTGCCGCTGAAAGGACTGCTTGAGAAAGCTGCCTCCATAACCACATGCTAAAGCTTTTCACCAATTTTGGTCCTGCCTATGCATTTCTAACCTTTGAAATCTCATCTGCTTGTACTGCTGGGATTTCTCTCAAATTGCTACACTSAGCACCTTTTCTGCCAAACTCTTATTACATAGGTTAGGCATTKACACTATTAACAACTTTAAGTATTATCCAGACAAATTTCTAAATACAGTGCTCATGATCYCTCTGACTGCAGTTCCTCTAGTTCTCCTCACACTGGTACAGAACATTTTAGATGTGAAATATTTCTGTGATATGTCTTGATRCAAGATCACCCCCAATACTAGATTGAACAGGAATGTTAAATCAGCTCCCTACCATCTGACCTTGCCTCAGAGTCAGGATTTTTCCGAGCTGGGTCAGTGGTAAGGCCCCAACCTTGTAATCATTACATGTTCCCWAGCATCACTTTATAATCAATAACTGAAAACTCTTGTTCACATGGAACGTATTTAAAAATATATTCTTTGCCCTCCAGTTTTTCCAGTAATTGATTATTTTACTTGGATGTGAAAGATCTAGGAATTATTTGATAGAATAGAAAGAAAAAAACTTTCAGATAAATTTCTTTCCATGTGTAGATAATAACTTGAACAGAATGCACAGAAGAGTAAACGACTCTGAAAGCATACAGATATGTTCTCT